AAACGAACAAGGAAATCCTTCAAAGTTAAATGCAAGCAGTAACCAAATTAGCTAATAAATCAAAAAGGAGGTAAAGTAACCTGGAATTCAAGAAATTGACCCTTGACAAAACGCAAAACGATGCTAGATTTTTCCGGCACCCATGTCCCCAAGGAACCTGGTTTTAGACAACTCCACAAATTTAGTATCATAACCTAAAAATCATCATCGAAACAGGAATTCAACAAAAAAAATAGAGAAAAAAAGGAACCGAAACAAAACTCGCGCACCAATTTGGCGTTGATGTTGTTGTGGCCGATCGTCGCCATGGAACGGGATCAGATGGATCGGAGGAATTAGAAGAAAACGAAGAGGCCAAACAACGAAGAGAGGAGAAAATTCCAGAAGATGAGCGGGCTAGATGATGAATCCTGTACAAATAGCGAGGAAGTCTGTACAAGTTGTAAATTTGTGATGGAAGATGTAGACAACGAACGAAGAAACCAAAGTCAGCCAAAAGACCTTCTCTCCCACGGTGACGGTGTTTGGCTGTTTGCTTGCTGCTTGCGCGTATACGGTCTCTCTGTGTATATATACACGCACCCGCGCACACGCTATGAAGATAGAGATGCACAGATGTGAAATATGCATATATTAATAATTAATTAAAATCAAATTATTTTCAAGACTTAAAAAGGAATATAATGGCAGACGAATTGAGATTATAAAACAAAATTAATCTGCAGGTTGATATAGTATTATGTAATTTTATCATTCCATGTATTTTTTTTGTTTTTATATTTTTATCTAATTTTTAATTAGATTTTTATAATTTTTTATCCTGTAGTGTCATTTGATTTTTAATCATGTGTTTAGTTTTTTAATCAGTTACTTAAAATTATTAGAATTCGATTAAAAATTAAATGACTCTATAAGATTATAATAAACAACTATAGAGACCTAATTAAAAATCAGCTACAGATTATTCTTTCCTAATATACTCTTCTGGTCCTAAATATAAGACCCATTTTGTAGTATAAATTGTACTAAAGGTCTTATATTTAGGACTGGAGAAGTACAAAACTTTACTATTATTATAAGAATTTTATAACTTGAATTTTTTAAGGGTATAAAAGAATTTATTGTTATTGTTAGTAGATTTTAAAGTTGTTGATATTAAAATATTTTCATTTACTTATGTGGAAGATTTCAAAGTTGTTAGAGCATTAGGAATAGGAATAACTTCATGCAGTGGTTATTGGCTTGACCAATTTTTTGGTTTACTTGTGGGGGTTTTTTTTTCAAAAAGCCAAAAAAGAAAAAAAGGGTTTGTGTGGTGGCTTGACTTTGAAAGGCAGATGCGAGTTTGCTGTCAAAATTGGGTTGGGGCGAAGTCATGCCACCCAAAATTGATCCCTCATCATCATTGATGATTCCTCTTTATCAACCAAATAAGGGGCCCAGCTGTATTACATTAGCATAAGAAAAAACTATATAGAAGTTAGATATAGCGAAGAAATTAGCCCGTTACAATATAATAAACTAATATTTAATTTTTTATTAAAAATATTTATATTTAGTATCTGATAATACTTCAAAAACGGTTAATTCTAATAGAAAGATGCATGTACTTAACACAAAAAATTATAAAAGAAATAATATTATTTGTAAATCATGAATATTATAGTTTATTAAATTTGTTAATTTTATATTAATTATATATTATTCGCACTATGAAAAAAATATATAAACAATTTGATTTTTATTATTTTTTTGTATATATTGATTATTGATATTGATATTAATTATTTAAATCATTTTTTTTTGTAATATCTTTTAATGAAATATATAATTGTATGAATTTAAGAAACTTATACTACATTGAGAGGAACTTTTATAGTAATCAATTTTGATTAAAATTTTTTAAAGTCTTTCAAAAACACTTCGATCAAATGCACGGTTGCAGCATCATTTGGATGGATGATATTATGATAAAGGGGAGGTGGAGGTGGAAATCATCTTCAAATTCTCTTGATGCAATTAAAAACAAATAAAAATTTATTATTTACAATTTCAATATTTTTTTAAAAAATCTTTAGTTTGTGGAAAAGGAAAATAACATAAAAATACTTATTGAATTTTTTTAAAAAAACAAATAAGTCATGCTAACTACATTTGTAATGGTTGTGATAAATCAAAATCTCTCAAAATCACTTATTTATCATTTTAAATTTCAACAAATATTTTTTTATTTTCCCTTTGGAAAATAGATGAGGCCATACAAGTTAGAGAGCAACAATGGTCCCTAGCTTTGGGAGTTTCAATCAATTATTTATTTATTTGTCTTATAAATGAATCAAATAGAGTGCTAGTTTTCTATTTTATTTTGAAGGATATCAGTATTATTATCTTTCACCAACAAAATCATAATTTTTTTATTACATTAATATTTTATTTATTCTATGTCACCTAGTGCATCAAATAACAAGCCAATAACTCATGAATTCTAATATTTGTAACAAACCAACTGGATTGACTATTGTCAACCCCACCAAGACGCACCGGCCATGGTCCATGAGATCGAGAAGCTTCCAATCACCCCACAACTTAATACACAAACATGACAATCTGTCAGCCACTTTTATTTTGACCAGCAATTTGTCAGCCACTTTAATCTTCCCTTCCAAAAGCTATGACTCTTCATTATATTGCACCGCCTGAAGTTCCAACATCACTGCAAAGAATTGGAAATATGGGCCAACCCCGCGCGAATAAGTTAAGCCATCATATGATCAAATCAATGACAGCTAGGGCAAGTAGCTTATTTGTAGCAAACCGGAAAAAAAAAAAAAAAAAGAACTTCTACAACCCAACCCTTCAAGGACGGGCCAAAAAGCCCAATAGATTAGCTTGTTAACTACTACTACTTCCAGCTCTTAATATAAGATCTTATTTAATTTTTATTTTGATTCTAATTATAAAACCCTAACCTATTTTGTCTTCTATATTTGTGCATCTTTTCTAAGATAGTCCTTTTAATAATAGTAGTTCTAGCTAATAAACTTGATTAATAAGGATATTTTAGAAAAGACAACATCTATTTATTACAAATAACTAACTTAACTTATTTCATTAATCTCCTTAAATTAGTCAACTACCTCTTCCAATTAGGGCCAGAGGTAATAGTTCATTATATTGTTTTAGCGTTAGCAACAGACATTGAGTCTAATGAAATGAGCTAATTTCTTATAATATGATAAACCAAAGTCCAAATCTTCATTAAGAGAAGTGCTAATATTTAGTATCTAACAATATCTCGAAAAAAGTTATGCCCAGCAAAAAAAATTTATTATTTCAATGTTTTACGAATAGAGGTTGAGTCTAGTAGAAGTGACTAGCATCTTATGATATAGCGAACTAAGGTTCAAATTCTTATTAGGATCGGTGCCCATATTGACAGTGCCATGATCAGGATTGTGTCCAATTGTAAAATATATTACCTCCGGTATTTAATATAAAGCTCATTTGATTTTTTTTGGTTCTAAATATAAAACTCCAATCAATTTATCTCTCATATTTATCTATTTTTTAAGATAGTCCTTGTAATAATGATAGTTCTAGTCAATACTTAATTAGCAAGAATATTTTAGGAAAGACAACACTTATTTATTACAAATAACTAATTTAACTAGCTTTTTTAATTTACTTAAATTAATTAACTAGCTCTTATATTAAAAACAGGAGGTAGTATATGCGAGGCAAAAAAAAATTTGTTTCAGTGTTTTGTATATTTCGAATTTTCACGTTCTTTCTAGTATAAAATTGATTGAAGGTACGTATTCTTTTTGAAGGTAGTCTCCAATCTCCCCCCGGGGGGGAAGAGAATCAATAACATATAAAGGTTTTTGCCTTCAAAGCTAGAAAGCGTTGGCGATAATTAAGCCATGCCATCGAGAGAACACTTCTATGGAACCGTGTGTTAGGAAAAAAGTTGTTGAGGAGTCAAAAACCTTTTTTTCCAGAGACAAATTTGTAAAACTCCTAATTGGAATAGTGAGAATATAGACGAGTCAATAAAACTCCTAGTCTCTCAACAACTCTATTCAGGATACTGTTAGATATTAAATATTGACACTTATCTTAATAAAAATTCAAATCTTAATTCATTATTTTGTGAACGACTAGCTTTCTCTGTTGGATTTAATTCTCGGTATTTCTACCACTTAGGTTTTGAACCAATTAATTCTGTTTTAGTTAACCAGTTTGAGAATAATCTTTTATGACATATATTGATAATATTGCAATATAAATGGATGAGAGGTATTATAAGGAATTCAGCAATTTTTTTTTATAAATAATTCACTTAATTAATTTTTTTTAATTCATATAAATTAACTAACTGATTTTTACATTTACCGCAAGAGTAATATTCTGGTAAAACAAATTCCTTAAATGACAACGGATGATGATGCTAGAAAATTTGCTTGCTCCCAAATGACTTTTATAGCCTCGTAACATGAAATTGAAAGCTTCATGGGAATTGGATCTTGCTTGTAATTTGTCAGTATCGTGTCTTTTTAACTAACAAAAAGAAAAGAAAAATTTGCATGTCCAAGATAATGCTCAGATTCTATCCAGCAGTAATGGATACGAAACATAAGATGCTTACATATATATACACAAATTTCAGCCGCTAATTGCTGCTCAAGATATACCATCCAAGAAGAAGAGAGAAACCCAATCCTAATTTTTCTAATTAAGAAATGGAGGTTTTGAAATCCGATAATGACATAAATTTTCTCTGCAAAATCCAAGCAAGAAAATTCGAAGCTGCCTTAAAAGAACAGTGATTCAAGCAAACAAAGGAGTTTGATTAGAAATGATGGGTGTATTGGTAGATCTAGGAGGAGGAGGAATTGGAGGCCTACTTGTTGAACTGCTCCATTCCCTCTTACCAATATGTCTTGATAATGCATTGGTTCTCCACAATCCTCCTTCTCCATAGCTTCTTCTGCAACACTTCTTCTTCTTATTCTTCTCTGCATTTTCTTCCTTCCCCAGATCCTCCAACCCCCTCACACTCGCCAATGAAGTAAACGAACGCGACTTCCCCTGGTAATGCCTTGACAGCCCCATCCTGCACAGAAAGCTACAATCTTTATAACCCAAATCACAACCCAGAAACTCAATACTGAGAATTTACGAGTATAGAGAATAAGAACCCAGAATCAAGCTCGCTTACTTAATGGGAAGTTGCTGGAACAGAGAGGACATGTCGCTGAGGGAGTCATGTGCTACCACCAGATGATTTGATGACGAGGGAAGGAACTTACTGGATGTTTCTTCTTCCAGGGAATCGGCGGACTCCATTGATGACCCACTTGAAATCCCAGAAGATGAAGATGAAGAAGAGAAAGAATGAACAAGATCATCATCATCATCATCATGAACTGGTCCTTTTCTATGAGCTTCCACCATGCTATTCTTCAGCAGCCCCATTTCTGAGTTCTTCTTCGAATACCCTTTATGGATTTCTATGGTTTGATTCAGTGTCTTTGTGTGTGTATATATATAGTCTGAAGGATTCCCATTGTTTTGCTTTGAACTTATCACACAAAAAGGATAACCGAATGGTCTGGGCCTTTTCTGTGTTATGAAGCAGAGCTTTCAATGGAATAGACAGATAGATAAATGTGCGTTTGAGGATTTGCAGGACACGGATGGTTTATAAGGAAAGCTTTTCAGCGCGATGGATATGGGATAAGATCGATGATTCGATGTTTTCTTCTTTCTTCATCTTTTATTTTATTTCTTTTAAATATTCCTCGCGGGCAAAGAAGTGATAAAAGATTCGTCTTTATCCGTATATTGGAGAAAATTATGTACGAGCATTAACTACAACATTATTGATCCAAAAAAAATACGGTAAACGTTTTTTATATTAAAAGTCGTTAATTTTAATTTTTTTTCTGAAATTTATATATATTTTTTTTTCCGTAACTCACGTCCCTCTTATATTATGAATGGCGGTGGGCATCGCACACGCACATTATGTATGGCTTAAAATTTACGGCTCCACACACACAACACACACACACACACACACACAAAGTGTTAGGAGAGGCCTTGTGTTACTTATTTGAGGTACAAATCCCCGTAATAAGAATTTATTTTTATACTCCTCCGATTTTTAATATAAAACCCATTTAACTAATTTGATTATATTAGAGAAATTAAGTAAATTAGTTAATTATAAGAAATGTGACATGTTTTTTTTAAAATACCATGATTACTTTCTTAATACCTCTTTTCCTCTTCTACTTAATTATAATTGAGAGAATATTCATAGGAGTAATTTAGAAAAAATTGATAAATATGAAAAATGGGTCTTATATTTAGGATCAAAACTAACTCAACAATTGGGTCCTATATTAAAGACCAGAGGAGTATTAAGTTATAAAGTGTCGGTATAATTTGAGTTAATTTTTTCAATTTTCATAAGTAAAATATAAAATTTGATTAATTTGAGTAGAGCTAAACAATTGTTTTGAGGACAAAGCTTCTTTTTTTTTTTTTATAAATTTTCATCCCTATATTCAATCATTTAAAACAACGTTAAAATTTAGTATAAATATTTTTTTATTTTGCGTATTCATGTTACTTTAGAGTAATTTTTTTTTTGGCAAAAAAAAAAAGATTAATTTTTCTCGGCTCCTATACCTAAATTAAAGCCGAACTTTAGCTGGATGATCTTTGACTCCTTCCTGTCTGGGTGAATACTGAATATGGCATTTCATTCTATTGATTTATTCAATTATATTTCTTTGATTCACAATTATAAGAGCTATTTATGATAATTAAAAAGTAATTAAACTAATTATTTATAAAATATGGGCATTGATTTTCTTAAAGGCAAATACTTAGAACTTAGGCTTGATGGAAAGCTTCTTAATAACTGCAACCAGTTGGAATAATTTAAAATTTTTTTTATAAATTTAAGAAACAGAATGGATTCAGATTTTATAATTATGACTAAAATATACTATAAGTAAGAAGAAGTAATAAATTTTGGGAAAGAAAAGGAATAATAATAAGCCAACCCCTGAGTAGTGTGTGCTTTACACTCCATCACTTATGAGCAGAACATAATCATTAAAAATTACTTTTTGGCTTCTCCAAAATTAGAATTAGGCTACAATAGTCTAATTTTCATTAAAACTGTATAGAACAGTTTATAAGTAACATTTCAGTCGTAATTTATAGAATAAGAGATAAATATGTAAGAGAAATTTTGTCTTAACTTAAATAAAATATGATTATAAATGATTTTTAAAGCTATGCTAAACATTGAGCGTGTGGAATGTATGTTAAAAAAATAAAAAGCAGTTCAAACTTGAAAGAGCTTTGGGCATATTGTTTTTTTTTTTCCTAGTAGACATTGAAATCCATTGAATCAAAGTGAGGCCAACAACATTAACAGCCCTAACCTCAATCTCTTTTATCGACTTTTCGGCCTCTCAAGTTAGCGAGAGGGAGATTGACCCAAAGTACAAAATTTCCCATTCATCCATGAGACAATTTAGCTAATTGGTTAGTTAGAGAATCCTCTTCCAGCACATGAACTGCCAATCTTTATCAGCTAATGCTCTAGCTTCATATACAATCTTTAAAAGGTCAAGGGTGCAACACCCTCAAGTTAATTGTGTGATACTACTTTCAATCTTTAATATAAAAATTGATGTGACATTCAATTTGGTTTTATATACAAGATTTTAAGTCGCTTTATCTTTTATATTTATTTTTTTTTCAAAATAGTTTACCAGCTCTTATGTTAAGGAGCGAAAATAGTAGCTTTTATATAGTTCAAAATGCTCTTCTGACCCTTAATATAAGACCTATTTAACTAATTTGATCAGATTAAGAAAGTTAGGTAAGCTAGTTAATTATAAGAAATATGACATATTTTTTCTAAAATACCATAATTATCTTTCTTAATATTCTCCCTCCCTCACTTACTTGATTATAGTTGATAGAGTATCCAAAGGGGTAATTTAGAAAAAGTTAATAAATATAAGAAATAGATTTTATATTTAAGATCAAAATTAACTTAACAATTAAGTCATATATTAAAGACGATTTTTATAAGGTTTGCAATGGATGGAGGAAATGTTGCAAGTTTGCAAATATGACTGCATATCCATCAGTTTTGATGACCATCACGAGTGGCGCTTTAATAGCTGCTTCTTCCATCGTCTAGCGCCAATCCATCCGCTTCAACCTCGGCAAAACCTTACAGAACCGCAAGCGCAACTATCCTGAGAATTTCAGTGAACTCGTACAAATCATATCTTCTCAACAAGTCTTGATCTGAACAGGCTTGAATAAGCGAAATTGAGTATTTAATCAATCTATTGATTCTTCTGTCTCAAAGAACTTGTTACATCAAGACACCAAAACTTCCTAATAGAGGTATGCATCGAGAATATAACAAGATTTTTTTTTTTTGGTTCGGCTTCATGTTTAATGTTCCATTTAACCCCTTTCATTTCTTGGAGGGAAAGGAAGTTATTAAGCCAACATTCTTGTGAGATCACAGACTTCCAACAATCAATTGCATTCATATAATCTCCTGACAAGTGCATTGAATCCCCTTGTGCCAACATTATGGGGAGACCACAAACTTCCAACGATCCATTTCATTCAAATAATTAACAATTTCCTAACAATTGTCCAGTGAATCTTCCCTTGAGAATAACCAAATAATTAACAAGCTCCACCTGAGCTCTGCCATCTGAGAATAACCAAATAAAGGATTTAATTTTCTCAAGTTCCTGCCATCTTCAAAGGATCTTCCTCTCCTATTTAATTATTATTGGAAAGATATTATTAGTGTTAATTTAAAAAAATTTAATAAATATGTGAAATAGGCTTTATATAAAGGATCAATATCAACTTTTTAATTAGATCTTATATTAAGGACTAAAAGAGTATTAATATTTAGCTACAATTTCACACTATGTAGATCTATATTCTGAATCCCTTGAATCTTGAAAGACTCTGGGAACTAACCCTTCAAAAATTTTTTAAATTGATTAGAATTACTACCTTCGGTCTTTAATATATAATATTTGTTTGATTTTTATTTTGATCTTAAATATAAGACCCCAATCCACTTTGTCTCTCGTATTTATGCATTTTTTTTCAAGTTAGTTTTTCTAATAATGATAGTTCTAGCCAATCTAGTTGATTAGTAAAGATATTTTAGAAAAGACAACACATATTTATTACAAATAATTAATTTAACTTCTTTTCTTAATATCCTCAAATTAGTTAATTAACTTTTATAATTAGGATCGAAGGTAGTACTTTATTATTTAAATTAAAAAAGTAAAATACATTAACTATCATTTTGTTTTACCTAATTTACAAAAATCTCTCTATTTTGAAAGTATATGCGCATCTCGCACTCTTTCTTAAAATTAAAATATTTCTTATACAATTGATAATCATTTTCTATCAACCCTAATTCTTTTTTTTTTTTAATGAAACTATCAAACCTAATTGTCATGCATATATTTCTAGACTTTCTAATATATTATACTATTTCTTAATTTTGAGCATATTAATTAATTTTAATTTTTCATCACATTTATTGAAGTTTATTTCTTTAGGTTTCTTTTAATTAGATAGAGAATATATTTTAAATTCGTATTTTTTTATCATATAGCATAAATAATATAAGTTTTAGAGATTATATAAATCATTTAAATTTGTAGTTTAAAATTTTTAGACACATTTTTTCTACATACATTTATAAACACATTTACTCAAGTATATATTTATAAACATAATTAATCAAATTTTAAATCAAGTTTTTTGTATCTATATTAACTAAATTACTTGAACTTTGGTCTCAATATGATAAAAAGTTCAAAAATAATAATTATTTGCAAAGGAAAATTTAGAAAAAAACTCTTAAATTTTTAAGAATAATTTTAGACAGAATTAGGAATTAGGAATTTGATATAATAATGAAGTGTACATTAGTAAGTCAAATTTATTTAAATGTTCTTAGAATATTCTTAAAAAGCTAACAATTTAGATTCGGGCATATAGTTTTAAAAAAAAGTAGAGAAAGTTCGTTTAATTAAAATGCTAATGACTTAACTTTCTCTTTCCTACCAACAAAGTGCAGCTGTTTCCTTAAGCATGATGTCTTGGATGCCTAATTTCTGCAACAAAAAATAACGTAAGGGAACCCTAATAATTAGATTAGTTAGCTGAGATTATTTTATTTTAAACATGGGTTTTAAGTTTGAGGTAAGGAAATGCAGTATCTCAGGGGCTAAGGACACCAATCTTAATAGTTCATGTATTGCCTTGATTTAGATTAATCTAAGCCTGTTATTATGTCTTAAAAAATCTTAGGATACAGGTGTGTTTGCGCAAAAAAAAAAAAAAACACTAGGGATGTTAAAGTATTTTATTTTAAAACAAAAGTACATAACTTTTGAATTTTTATATTTAAAAAACTGTTCATTACTCATTAGGCCACATTTTGAGTAAGGTTCCATTACTCATTTTGTTGACTAATAATTAATAATTCCTATATTATACTATGGTTTGGATGAAACCAAACAATAATTTTAAAAATACTTTTATGATATAT